TCTCTAAATTTTAATTTTTAACTAATAAAAATAAATAAAATAATAAAAATAAAAAAAGTTTTATATTTTAATATTATTTTAACATTTCTATTATGATTAGAATTATTAGAATCTAATAATAAGCTTTGTTGTAATTTTTTTTGCAAAACTTGAATGAAATACGCATTTTGCAAAAAAATTGCTACAAAGCTTATTATTAGATTCTAAAAATGATTAGACACTCAAAAAAAACTATTCTATTATATTTAATAACGAATTTTTTTAATTATAAAATTATTCCAAAACACGAAAAAATTCTTTTTTAAATAAATATTTAATCATTATTATTATTCCATTGCAATTGGGATTTTAAAAAAATTTCAAATTCAAACCTTTATGAAATTCAACAAATTATAAAGATATAATTACAAAACATGAAGATATCGATCACTCCGAGTCGAAGACTCGGAGTTATTGATGTTCTTCATGTTTTGTAATAATTAAAATTTCCATAAAATTTTTCAAAAATATATTAAACTATTTACAAAAATTTTAATAAAATCCTTCACAAGAATTCAATTATTTTTACAACTAATAAAATTTTTCACAAGAATTCAATTAATTTCATAAATAATAAAATTTTTCACATGATTTCAATTATTTTCATAAATAATAAAATTTTTCACAGGTTTCCAATTTTTTTCACAAATAATAAAATTCTTCACAGGATTTCAATTATTTTTAAAACAATTTTAAATAAATTCCTCAAAAAATTTAATTATTTTCAAAATTTTTTGTCAAGAATTCAATTATATTTCACAAATAATGAAATTCTTCGAACAAATTCGCAAATATTTTTAAAATCTACTATTTTAATAAAATTTCTTAAATGAATTCAATTATTTTTTTTTTAAAAAAGATAATAAAATGCATTGCAAGAATTCAATTATTTTCATAAATAATACAATTTTTGACAGGATTTCAATTATTTAAAAAAAAATTTAATAAAAATTCGTTGCAAGAATTGAACTATTTTCATAAATAATAAAATTCCTAACAAGACTTCAATTATTAAAAAAAAATGTAATAAAAATTCTTTACAAGAATTCAATTATTTTCTTAACCAATAAAATTTTTCACGGGATTTCAATTATTTTTAATACAATTTTAAAAAAATTCTTCGAAAAATGTAATTATTCTCAAAAATATTCAAAATTCAATTATGTTTGAAAATTCATGCTTTAATGCTTTTAATATTCAATTATGTAAAATAGTAAAATTTAAACTGAATTTCATTTTTAAATCAATTTTTATTAGAAAATTCAACGAGAATTCAATTATTTAAATAGAAGTAAAATGCAAATAAATAATTTATTGAATAATTGAAAAAAAATTTAATTACATTCTTCGTCAGATTTCAATTATTTTCAATTTTTTAATGAAATTTCTTGATAAAATTTCATTATTTTCAAAAATTAAAAAAAAAAATTTTTTAATTCTGAGAAATTTAATTATTTAAAAATAATTTTGAATAAAATTCTTTACAAGAAATTAATTATTTTCATAAATAATAATATTTTTCTCTGGAATTCAATTATTTTTACAAATAAAATTTATTGAATAATTGAAAAAAATGTAATAAAATTCTTCGTCAGATTTCAATTTTTTTCAATTTTTTAATAAAATTTTTCAATAAAATTTCATTATTAAAAAAAAAAAATTTTTAATAAAATTCGTTACAAGAATTCAATTATTTTCATAAATAACAAAACTTATCGCAGAATTTCAATTATTTGTAATACAATTTTACACGAATTGCTCAAAAAATGTGATTATTCTGAAAAATTTAATTTCGATTTTTTGAAAAAAACAATTATTTACAAAAATATTCGAATTTTTCAAAGTAATTCAATTATTTTCAAATGTTTTAATAAAAGTGACGTAAGAATTCGGAATCAATTATTTTAAATACAATTCTAATTAAATTTTTTTAAATAATTCAATTATTCTTTTAGATTTTAATAAAATTCTTCCCAAGAATTCAATTCATTTCAAACGTACAACTTTTCACAGGAATTCAATTATTTTAAAAAAAATTTAATAACATTTTTCGTCAGGTTTCAATTATTTTCAATTTTTTAATGAAATTTCTCGATGAAATTTAATTATTTTCAAAAAGGTTTTAAAAAATTCTTGAGAAATTCAATTATTTAAAAAAAATTTAATAAAATTCTTCGTCAGGTTTCAATTATTTTCAATTTCTTAATGAAATTTCTCGATGGAATTTAATTATTTTCAAAAAGTTTTAAAAAATTCTTGAGAAATTTAATTATTTAAAAAAATTTTAGAATAAAATTCTTCACAAGAAATTAATTAATTTGATAAATAACAATATTTTTCTTCGAAATTCAATTATTTTCATAAATAACGAAACTTATCGTAGAATTTCAATTATTTTTTATACAATTTTAAATAAAATGATAGAAAATTGCATTTGTTCTTGAATTTTTTTTTAATTCACTGAAAGAATTCAATTATTTTTTTAAAATTTAGATAAAATTCTTCATAAAAATAATTGAATCTCCGTAAAAAATTTTATTATTTTTGAAAATAATGTAAAGTTTGCTTTAAATTTTATCAACACTTTTTTTAAATAATTGAAATCTTTTAAAAAAATTTATTATAAAATAGTAGATATTGAAAAATGATTAAATTGAGGAAAATTTTTGAAAACAATAATTGAAATTTTGCCAAGAATTTTGAAACTTCTTTTTAAACTGATATAACTATTTTTAATTCGGATAATTGCTCATAGAAATCATTTTACTAACAACTGTAACAAAACGAACCGAACCGTCTGACCAAAGAACGACTCTTTCTACTGAATTCCCCAAACATTTTTCTCCATTTATTTTCAATGTATTTTTGCCAAATTTAAAAATTCACGAGATCCAGAGTAGAATATTTTTCTATACCGCACAATATTTCCAACTCGAAATAAAAATCCCATTATTTAAAAAAATTTTACAAAACTTTTCACGTAACTTTTCAAATTCATATATAAATTTACAAAAGAGCAATTTACAAAGAGCAAAAAGATGCATTTAATTTAAAAAAAATACATTTAATGAGCCATTGTAAATGATAAATATTTGCATAAATAAACATTTTTCTCAATTATTTATGTGCAAGGAAAATTACCGTGTAAAATCAGAAAAATATGTACCGTCTCTGTGACTAATATCGACAAATTTCCACTTGAATTGCAAAATAAGTAGAGTTTTACGGTTTTCTAATAAAAGTCACATTATGTTTCAACATAGACGAAATTTACGATTCGAAAAGCAAAACATTTTTCATCGCTTTAAAAAGTACATGTAGTTCAATGTAAAATAAATTCCGCAATAAAAAATTTCACGTGGCAATTATTCAGGATTTAAACATTTAAATATTGATTTGCAAAAACTGTATATTGGGAATTTTATTTTTTTTTTTGTAGAAAGTGGTTTTTTTCTGCTACAGTGTAGATGTGTATATACAAAAGCGGTTTTGCGTCGTAAATAGAAACCTTCGCGCTAAGGGGATAGAATAAATTCTCAATTTTCCTGGTAAAATGGCCGGTTGTCCGGCATTCCTTTTCCCACTTCACGTGCGCATATATACAGTAATATATATGAATGTTCTGCATAATACAATATACTGACCCTCGACATTATACGTCGACACCTAGTATTGTAAAAATGTCTATGAAACCCGGGCATATACGTAACATTAACAATGGGACGCAACATATTCAAAAATTTAACAACACGATGGTTTCTCTCTCTCTCTCTTTGCATTTTCAATTTTTGTTCAACTCTCATAATACCTAAAGTTGTATCAAGTTGAAAATGGTACAAAAACTTTTCTATGTAAATGTTTATATTTTTCTTTACATATACGTGACATGACAAAATGAGCCTTTGAAGCAAACAAATTGTAAGTTATGTTTATGATGTGTTCTTTTTCTCTCAACATTATTTTTCCATACTCAACAAGAACTAGGTAATTCAGGGTTGCCACAGATCAGAAAAATCAGGAAATTCAGGGAAAAGTCAGTAATTTTTATTAAAAGTACACTGTAAAAAATTTGGGGAATTTTCACAAACTTTTCTTGTTGAATATTACATATTTTTTGGGGAAAGTACTTTTCCCCAACAAATTTGTGAATATCTCTTAAAATTTGGTGAAAATTCCACAAAACTCTAGTGAATATAATTGTCCCCAAAAAGTTGATGAATTTTCCCCAACTTTTCAGGAATTCTTTCTTAAAATTTGGGAATATTCAATATCTTTTTGGGGAAAAAGATATTCCATAGAATTTTGTGGAATTTTCACCAAATATTTTGGAAAAAGTATATACAACAAAATTGTCAGAATATGTGTTTTTATTAACATTTTAGGCATTACTTACAAAAACCAAGTTATTTTAATAGATTCTTTTACATTCAATTTTTCTGTCTTTTGAATTTTACTTTATTTTTCTTAGACTTTCCTTAGACTGTATAAGATTCCAAAATTATATTAAGTAATAGATTGAGAGGTAAATCTAATATATATTTCCTACAAGGTCTTTTATATTATATATTTCTATTCGTTAAATTTGACTATTTTTATAGTTATTTTTTACTGAAAGATTGTTGAATTTTTTTTACTATAATAATTAATAAAGGAATATTTATAAGCTTTAAATTTATAATAATTTTAATTTACAATAAAATATATTCAACGTTTTTTTAAAAATAAAAATAAACATTGTGGATTAACAAAGATTAAAACTTTAAATAAGAAAAGTTATTGCATTCTTATTAACAAAAAAATATCCACTTATTTTTTTGTCAAATTGAAGAAGATTCAAATATGATTTATTATACGTTTTGTAAAATATTTTCACCCTAAATAAAAAATGTAAGATGTTTGAGAAAAGACTTTTCGTTTTTTGGAAAATATGTTCAACATGTGGTTTGTCTGAGGATGGCCAACTATGTACAATGGTTTCTTGTTGCAAAAGGGTCTATTTTATGTTTTTCGGTACCAGTTTTTTTTTCATATAGTTTTATTCGGATACTGAGTCTTGGAAACTTTTAGGAATGGAAAATATAGAAGAAATATGTAGAAATTTCAAAGATTTTCCACGAAACTTCCAAATGTCAGCATTCGCAGCGTCAGTTGCTCTTAAGCATTTGCTGGAGATGAACGTAAAACGTTTGTGTTAGTATAATTTTTTTGTGAGCAAGTGAAATTTGAAAATTGTGAAAAACTGCTAAAATTATCACCAAGGAATACTTATAAAGCAGGTAAATAATATTCCATAATAATAATAATAACAATCGCGCGCTCCCTTTATCGTAATTAGCGAAGTGGCACAGTACTGATTTGCAGTAAAAATTCCATTAATTGAAGCATCCCAAAGTTAATTATAAAACGATTTAAAAAATATTGTTTTATTCTAATTTTTTTATTGTTTAAACATATTTTTGGATTTTTTATTAACAATTTTAAAGAGAAACATTTAAAGAAAATAAATATTATTTGATTGTAATAATTAGTCACTTTAATTAACCTTCAGAGAACATACCTATTTTTTAGATTATTTTTTAATGCTTAACCAATTTTAAACTGTTCATCTGATTAACCCAAAGATTTTTTAAAAATATAGTTTAAACTCTGTAAAATAAGTCTGTGTACTTTAAAATCCTTATAAAAAATATTAAACAATAGATAAAAAGCTTTTCGCAAAAAATCGTGGGGTCAAAATGACCCCATGTGTTCTCCGAGGGTTAAATTATGAAATTGTTTATTTATAATATGATAGATATATAATATTCTTTTTGCATTGATGTGATTAAATTCTGAGACGTGCTCTAAAATATTCAAAAATTTATTGTCCTATCTAAATTTCATATGGAAATTATATAAACCTTTTTAAATTCTTTTTACAATATTTTTTAGAAATTATTTATTAATCTATTGAAAACAAATATAATTTTATTTTAGTAAATATGAGTAATAATTATTGGAAATTTGCCTTAAATTGAAAATTGTTTACGAGAAGAGTAATTTTGAAAAAGAATAATTTTAAAAAATATGAAAATTGTGCTCTTAATTTTATAAATTATATAATGTATATAAATCCATCGTTCAGGAAAAGAAAATTTGTTCAAATAACTCAGAAAAAACATTTTCAACTTTGTATATTGAAATGAATTGAAGAATTTACCTGCGAAGAGAGAGGTCGCTGAAATTTAGGTAAAGGTAAAGTGCATAGATTTATGACTAAGCGTCATAAAAATAGAAAAGGAGCACAATCCTTCAGTGAGAAAAAAATTTTTTAATCCAAAAATATGCAGCAAACCAAAAAAATATGTTTTAATTACAAATATTTAAAACTGAATTAAACGTACTCTTTATTCAATCAATCTTATTATATATAGAACAAAAATTATTGTCTAATTCCAGAATAATTTCTGGTTAACTGTATAACAAAGATAATCATGTTTAATTCAAATATATTATTTTTTCAGTGTTTGAAATTTTCAAATTAATGCAGGCGTGGGCACAACCCTGCTCCGGTTGCCCCGCGTGAGGGGAATGACTCCCCACTCTCAGTCTTAGCAATAGTTTTCTCTCTCTCTCTCGGCGCGTCAAACTATTGCTAAGCCTGAGAGTGGGGAGTCATTCCCCTCACGCGGGGCTACCGTAGTCAAGAAGTTACTACTTCGTGCAGAATCACACGGATATATATTCAATATATTTGAATCAAATATAATTCTTTGTTATACAGTCAACCAAAAATTATATATGTGTATATTAATTGTATAAAAATAAAAATATAAAAATCAAAAATTCCTTTCAGGTTGAAATAGAATTTCAAAATGTTTGTATGCCACTTCTGTGATCATCGCACAGAATTTCTTGCTAACCATCTTACTCATCTTAAAGTTCATTCAAATCTTTCCAGACAGTTTCTTTGTGGGTTTAATGGTTGTAAATACTTGTATCGAAAAGAAATCCATCTAAAAATGCATCTGATTACAAAACATTGTCTAAGCTTACGTCAAAATTTATATGACAAAATGTCGGAAACTCTTGTTCAAAAAAATTGTATGTTCACTTGTTCTGTTGGAATATGTATGAAAAAGATAGTTAATTATCAAGAATTTATGAAACATTTGAAAACACATATGAGAAATAATGAAGAAGTAAGATGTCCTTTTCCACTGTGCAATAAACTTTACACAAATGTTAGTTCTTTTACAAGTCACATATCTCGTCATAAATCTTTGTGTAATGTAACACCAAATATAAGAAGCCAGAATGAAGAAAATCATCCAGTATCAACAATTTTTTCAGAAGATAGGCAATTACCATTTTCAAGAAATATTGAAGATAATGTAGATGACAGCACAATTGAATCACTTTTTATAATGGAAAATGCTCAGGACAATAGTCATCTCAATGAAAAGTTTCATGAACTTTTCAAAATTAATTTGGCTCAATTGTACTTAAAATTAGAATCTCAGTTTTTAGTTCCAGTATCTACTATTCAGTATCTTATAGAAGGATTTGAAAATATTGATTCTCAACGATTAAATATTTTTAAAAGTCATTTAAAAGAGCAGTTGACTCTTTTACATCCTAATTCTAATGAAGTCAATGATATTATCAAAAATATAATAAAGGATGATCCCATGGAAAACTGCAAATTGACATTAGGAACTGATTACAGAAGAAAACAATTTTATAAGAAAACTTTTGCATATATTCAACCTGAAAGTGTTTCATTAGGAAAAATTAAAGGGAAAAAAGCTCACTACCACTATGTGTCAATCATTGACTCAATTAAAGCAATGTTTGCTAGTAAAGCATACAATCACGATTTAGTACATCCTACAAATGACACAGATGTTCTCAAAGATTTTTCTGATGGTCAACTTTTTAAAAGTAATCCTTTTTTTTCAAAAAATCGCGAAGCTATTTCAATTATATTATACACAGATAGTTTTGAAATAGTAAATCCTATTGGATCATCACGTAAAAAATATAAAATACTTGCAGTATACTTCACTTTAGGAAATTTGCCAGCTCATATTCGTTACAAAATTAACAACATTCATCTTGTTCTACTGTGTAAAGAAAAGGATTTTTCTCACGAAAAAGTATATAAAAAAATTGTCAAAGATTTGATAAGAATAGAAAGTGAGGGAATCGAAATTTCTCCTAATAAAATTGTAAAAGGTTCATTAATTTTTATATCTAATGATAATTTAGGAGCGCATGGACTAGGTGGATTTTGCGAAAATTTTAGTGTCTCAAATTATTTTTGTAGATTTTGCCTCTGTACTCGAAAAAGTTTTATTGGTGTAAAACATAAGAAGAGAAAAACTTCAGGGAAAAAAACTAAAAATATTAATGACAATATTGACAAAAACGTTGAAGTAGTAGACGAAATATTAATTGAAGATGAAGATATGGAAGAAGAAATAAATGGATTAGAAAATGACATAGAAGATGAAGAAGTCCAACAAATATTAGATGATTCAGAAAAACGAAGAGACGAAAACGAAAAAATATCAGATGAATCAGAAAGTGAAGAAGATGAAGAAGAAGAAGAAGAAGAAGAAGAAGAAGAAGAAGAAGAAGAAGAAGAAGAAGAAGAAGAAGAAGAAGAAGAAGAAGAAGAAGAAGAAGAAGAAGAAGAAGATGAAGAAGAAGAAGAAGAAGAAGAAGAAGAAGAAGAAGAAGAAGAAGAAGATGAAGAAGAACAAGAAGAAGAACAAGAACAAGAAGAAGAAGAGGACGAAGAAGAAGAAGAGGAAGAAGATGAAGAAGAAGAAGAAGAGGATAACGAAGAAGATGAAGAAAAAGAAGAGGAGGACGAAAAAGAAGAGGAAGATAAAAAAATGACAGATGATTACAAACGAACTTCGTATAAAAGAAGGAATATAGCTTCATATTTAGAATCTTTACGAAAGAAAGGAAAAGCAACACATTTTAATGGAGTTAAATTTAATTCAATTTTCAATCGATTAGAATGGTTTCATGTTTGTAACTTTGGACTACCTCCGTGTTTAGCCCATGATCTGCTGGAAGGAATTATTACTTATGACCTACCTCTTATAATAAAACATTTTGTCTCAAAAGGTTGGGTGTCCTATGAAAATCTCAATTCAAGAATAGAAGGCTTCAAATATTCCAGAACTGATCAACGAGATAAACCTGTTCCAATACCTGGAAATGGAAAAAGACTTATAGGAAATGCATGGCAGATACTAACTTTACTTCGACTTTTTCCTTTCTTCACAGGACCAAAAATTGATACTAATGATGAAGTATGGTATTCCTTACTGAAATTAACTGAAATTGTTGAAATTGTATGCGCTCCACAAATTCATAAATCATACATCCCTTACCTAGAAGATATTATTAACGAATACTTGGGTTTAAGAAAAAAATTATTTCCTTCTGTGAAAATGCGTCCTAAACACCACTATTTAACGCATTATCCAGAAATAATAATGCAATTAGGTCCATTGAGAAAACTGTTCACCTTAAGATTTGAAAGTAAACATACTTTTTTTAAAAGAGTAATAAGAAATATAAAATGCTTTAAAAATACAACCTTTTCCTTATCTGAAAAGCATGAACTTTTGCAAAGTCTTTTACGTTCAGGAGCAGGATTAAAGTGCGATTTACAACTAAATGATGAAATTCCATTTTACATTCATCACTACTCTAAGGAATTGCAAAATGCTATACAAAATTCTGAATTGTGTAGTCCAGCAACTGAATGTTCAAGTGCAGAATTGAAAGGTCATTTTTATAGAAAAGGAAATGTGGTCGCTGTTCGTCAAACGGCTTATCAAGAAAACGTTCAAATGGGTAGAATTATAATGATTTTAAGCAATGATAAACAATGTTTATTTCTTGTTTTGGAGATGTTAAAAACAAAGTTTCATCTAAAATCTCGACTATACGAACTTGGAAACTTTGTTCGTTACGAATGCCTTCCTCTCAATAAACTGTTAGAAAGGGAATCTTTGGATATTTACATTCAAGATACAGTTTCGTATGTCAAAATTCAGCACGGACTTGTTACAAGTCCATTATAATGGTATTTTTATGTTTTTTTGTAAAATAAGGATGACTTTGTGTAAATTTAACTTAAAATTTTTTTCATAAAATAATTTTAAAATAATTTATTATAATTGTAATAATAATAGTAATATAAACTGTCTGAAAAGATGAATGAAAATATGGGATTTCATATTAAAGTGAGTAAATATATGTCATATACACATAGATAAATATAAAAATTATATTCAACAGGAATAACAATTAAAACAGAATTTTCATACATAGAAAATATGTAAAAATGGAAAAACTTAAAAATGTTTTCATTTTCAGATGAATATGGAATTTTTGAAAGTAACAACACTACAAAGAAAGAAGATAGCAGCCATAAAAAGTGCAACATTAGAAGAATTTATTTCTAAAGCTTGTAAACGTTTTGATCTTCCATCTGATTCTCAATTTAAGGTATTATAAATTTTAAAGTACATATTTTGTTATGATTTTTGTTTTGTTATGTGTGTTTAAACTTTTAATTATTATTTATATAATATATGATATTATATATATATATATATATATATATATATATATATATATATATATATATAAAAAATAATCATTAGTATAATTAAACTTTTGTTATGATATTATATATAACCCATTTTCCAGTTTGTGTTAGAGGTTGATGGAACTGACTTCGAAAATTTCGATGAAATGATTGAATTTATGAAAGAAAATCCAGCAGTAATAATGATTTTGAAAGAGAATGAAGAATGGACACCAAATATTTCAATTCCATCCAAAGTCAGTAGGATTGAAATCCCTCAAACTTCCATTATGAATGGTAATTCTTAGTGTATTTTCATGTATTATATAATAAATAACAAGCAAATGCTCTTAAAATTTTCGAGTTTCTTATCTAATAAATATGAATTTTCAGATGAAATAAGAATAACAGCAGTTACTTCTGCATCTTCAGCACCTTTGGAAATTTCTGACAACACCCCAATTATAGAAGAATCACGTGCCACACCACTGAAATGGGAAAATATTACGCCCAAAGGATTTACTGATGCTTCAAACAATTCATGTGTCAAAGAACTGCAACTAATAAGGAATATTGCAGATTTCATGCTTGAAAGGAGGACAGTGACATATTCGGATGCCTTACGTATGGCTAAAGAAACAGTTGCCCGCTTTCCCAAAGCATTTGAAAAACGAACCTGGAAAAATGGCGAAAATACGATCTATTGTAATGGAATAGATTCTCTGCGATGTAGGATTTATGAACGTTTGAAGTATGTATTATCGTTAATGGTTAAATAATTCTTATACATATCGTTAGTTAATGCATTTATATTCAATTCTATCGATTTTCAGGTTTTTAAAATCAATCGACGTTTGTGGTAAAAAACGCAAAAGAAGCGAATTAGTCGATGATAATGAAAATCAAGAAGCTCGAAAAAAACGTAGTACACGTTACGGACAAGATCAAGATTGTTATGGATGTGTGGCCTTTGAGCCATCTCTTCCTGAAACTGAAACTGAAGAGTCTCAACTCCAAAAGCAACGTCTTCTTTTAAACTATAAAACTCAAAATGAAGGTACACCAGAGGACATAGAAATATTAATGAGCGACACTTATCCATCGCAAAGAATCATTCTAAATAAAAGGGATAGCAATAACATGGCTTTAAAAGATATATTAAAAGATCATTGGCCTTATTTAACTGAAAAAAAATATTTCCTTTTACATGCTAATACTTTGCTTGGGAAAAATATTAAAGACATTTGGAACAACAACGTGCAATTGAAGATTCCAGAAATAATAGTTTTTTTTCGAAGCTATTGTGGGCAATATAATAGACGAAAATCCTGTCCTGAGGCAGTTACGCCAATGAAAAATTTGCTAAGTGATGCAAAGAAAGCTGATGAAAATCTTACTAGTAAAATGGCAAGCACATTAGTTTTTTTGCCTCTTATCGCAAAAAAATTTAAAGAAAATGAACTTTACATTTTGGTTGTAAGTATTATTAAAAAATTCTTGAGATTCTCTATTTTGTGAAATTAAATAACGAAAATTTTCATTTTTAGGACCCTTTTGAAAATGAAGAAAACATCAAAAAGAAAGCAGATCCTATACGACCATCATTAATAATAAAAGGTAAATTTATTAGAGTATAATTTATAAGCGACAAATATAATATATTTAATACGTATAGATGTAATATTGATGACTAATATAATTTAGTAATTAAATTACTTTTAATTTTTACAGGAACGTCACTCTACGATGAAAAGTGTGAATCTGTTATCCTTATTCAGGGGGAAGTAGTACTAGAAGCCGACAGTGTAATGGAGGGAATCTTATTTCTATCTCTTTGCTTTTATGTTTTCGGATATAATTACCCTGAAAAAAAAACTTCATCATTGGAATTTATTCAAAGGTAAGTTAAAACATTATAAGTATATATTTTATTAATCTAAATATTTCACGTGGAAAGGTTTCCGGAATTTCTGCGGATAGACTTCGGCAAAAATTGCGGAATGACTGTGGAAAATTTTTCGCAGTCACTCCGCAAATTTTTCCGAAGTCTATCTGTAGAAATTCCGAAAACCTTTCCAGATGGGATATTATAAACATTTTTGAAAATCCTTTAATCAATCTTCTAACAACTTTTCAGGATGTTACTGGATATTAATCCCACGGAGGGACACAAACGATGGACGAAAAAGGCTACAAAAACGATCAGGGATGCAAAGGCAGGCCGATTGATTGACGACATCGTAGATTTTAATGCAAATTTTTATACTCCATAATTTTTATAATTTTTTAAACATATGTATCATGTAATAATAATGATGCCGTATTTTACAATTATATTGATTATATAAAGTTTTGTAATTGACAATAAATATATTATTTTTCATTCAAAAAAATCGTTTCATTTCAATACAATAGAATTTAAATTTAATTAAAGTAAATTAACTAAATAATTCTGAAAATATTTATATATTATTAGGAAGTACTCACAATTATTTGCGATAATTTCACATAATTTTATTGAAAATTCACCAGAAAATTATAAGAAAAATTCACTACTATTTGTTAAATTTCACTAAAATTTAATTCAAAATTCACTAAAAAAATTTGTGGAAAAAATACCAACATTTGGAAAATTTCACTAAAATGTGATAAAAGTTCACCAAAAAATTTTAGGGAATATTCACAAATATTTCTAAATATTTCACCAAATTAAGCTGGAAATTCACAAAATTTTAGGGAAAAATTACTAATATTTGTGGAACTTTACGGAAATTTTAGTCAAAATTCACCACAAAATTGTTGGAAAAAGTTACCAATTTTAGTGAAAATTCACCAACAAAATTCTAGAATATTCACAAATATTTGTGAAAATTCCACAAAATTTTCTAAGGAAACTTTTCACTAAAATTTTAGGGAAAATCTCACAAAATTTTGGGGAAAATTTTCCCCAGAAAATTTTGGGACATTTTCCCCAAAATGCCGTCAAAGTTGCGTCAACAGAATTTTGGGGAATTTTCACCAAAAATTTTTTACAGTGTACTGAAAAAAATTAAATGTTTAGAATTTATAAGAAAATTATGAAGTTTTGTGTCTTTTTGTTTCCCTCATATAAAATTACCACGAATTCCAAAAAAAAAACCTTCAATTTTTTCTATTTCTGACAATAATTTATTTTTAAATAACTTAATTGTATTCAAGAACTGCCAAAAAGTTATTATACTTGTAAATCATTTAATGAAGTATATTCTCGTCAATATTTTCAATTATCTTTATAAATAAATTAGTAAGAGTGTCTACGCAATATAAAATATTCCTTATTCGAGGCTGAAAGCATCTTTTCTTCTTTCTTTTCTTTTTTAGTTTAAGTATTTCTTTAATTTTGTAATAAAAGGCATTGCCCGTGTATACATTGAAAAATAAAAAAAATAAATAAATATAGAAAAATTGTTCGACAAAATTCAATTATTTTGAGGAATTTTAATAAAATTCAATGCAAAATTCAATTATTTTTATAAATAACAATATTCATTACAAGAATTCAATTATTTTGATAAATAACAATATTCATCATAAGAATTCAATTATTTTAAAAACTAATAAAATTCTTAGCAGAAATTCAATTATTTTCAAAAAATCTAAAAAAAATTGTCAACATTTCAATTGTCTTTATAAATGAATAGCAAAATATTTTTCGACAAAATTCAATTATTTTCAGGAATTTTAATAAAATTCATTGCAAAATTCAATTATTTTCGTTAATAACAGTATTAATCACAAGAATTCAATTATTTTAAAAATCAATCAAATTCTTCACAGAAATTCAATTATTTTAAAAAAATCTAAAAAAAATTGTTGTCAACATTTCAATTATCTTTATAAAGAAATAGCAAAATTCTGCGACAAAATTCAATTATATTGAGGAATTTTAATAAAATTCATTGCAAAATTCAATTATTTTCGTAAATAACAATTAATATTCATCACAAGAATTCAATTTTTTAAAAAATTAATAAAATTCTTTGCAGAAATTCAATTATTTTCATAAATATCAATATAATTACAAGAATTCAATTATTTTTATAAATAACAATATTCATGACAAGAATTCAATTATTTTAAAAATTAATAAAATTCTTCGCACAAATTCAATTATTTTAAAAAAATCTAAAAAAAATTGTGATCAACATTTCAATTATCTTCATAAATAAATAGCAAAATTCTTCGCCAAAATTCAATTATTTTTAAATATTTTAATAAAAATTATGGCAAAATTTCAGTTATTTTCAAAAATTTTTCTTATACTTCAATGGTTTTTAATATTCTACTATTTTAATAAAATTTCCCAAAAGAATTGAATTATTAAACAAAAGTTTTTATAAAATTTTACACAAACATTAAATTATTTTCAAAAAAAAAAAAAAAATTTTACATGAATTCAATTATTTAAAATATAATTTGCATAAATTTTTTCGAAAAAATCAATTGTTTTAAAAATTAAAATTTGGCATTAAATCCTACGCAGTAATTCAATTACTTTCAAAAGTAATAAAATTCAATTATTTTCAAAATTTTAAAAAAATCCATGTCAAAATTTAAATTATTTTCAACAATTTTTCTTAATTCAATAATTTGTATATATTAGTTATTTTAATAGAAATTCACAAAAGAAGTCAATTTTTTAAAAAGAATTTTGACAAAATTCTGCACGAATATTCAATTATTTTTTAAAATAATGAAAATTTCACTCGAATTCAATTATTAAAAATAGATTTTTTGACCTGGATAAGTGGAATACCTCTATAAGTGGAACAAGAACTTTGGTCCCTTGAGGTTCCACTTATCCAGGTTCGACTGTATTTTCCTACAATTTTAATCGAATTCTTAGAAAAATGTAATTATTCTTAAAAATTCTATTAAAATTTAGTCGAAAAAATTCAATTATTTGAAAATTTTTTAATAAAATTATGTATAAGAATTTAATTTTAACAAACATTCAATTATTCAATAAATTATCTTTGTATTTAAATAATTGAATTCTCGTAGAATTTTCTAATAAAAATTTATTTAAAAATTAATTTCAGTTAAAGGTTTAGATAATAATTGAATTTTTGAGAAGTTACTAATAATTGCAATTTTTAGAAATAATTGAATTTTGTAAAGGTTTCAAATTAAAATCTTTGAAAGTCTAAATTTTTCAAACATTTAATTAAAAATTCTATAGAACTAATTTATTTTAAAAAGCTTAATCGAAATATGTTTAAATTATTTCAAGTTTTTATTTTCTTATGTATATTTAATTGAAGAATTGACAAATAAAATCGAAGTTTCTTTAAATTTAATATTGGAAAACAAATGAATTTGAAAATTGTCAAAGTCTTTGTCGAAAAATTGTTAAAAATATTTGATTTAAAGAAGGATTTAAGTTAAAAATTCTGGAAAATAATAATTGAATTGAAATGATGAAAATAATTTTGAAAAAGTTATTTGAACGTTTTGAAGAAATTTAATTCCTACGGAAAAATAATAAGGATTAAATATTTATAATAAAAATTAAGATATTGATATTTTCTAATAATTTTTCAATTATGAAATTCTTAAATAAATGCAATAGAACTTTTTTTTAGTATCTAATAATTTTTATAGTGAATTAGAATTTTTTTTAGGGTCAGGGAAAGAGTCAAAATTTTATCTGTAAATCAGGGAAAAGTCAGGGAAAAACAAAATTAAATGTTTGTGGCAACTCTGTAATGTTAAGAAATAACTGTAAAATGAATTTTTATAAATGAAATTATTTGCTTTTAAGTTTAATGCTAAAAAGTTTTTACACTAAGCTATATATTTGCATCTGGATTTTTTACTTCAAAAAAATAACTTTTTGTGTTTAATATAAAAAAATTAATTTTGGCCAACGCAGAAATGAAATCTCTGATCGTAAGCTTTTACATGAGAGAGAAAAGGGACAAAAGATTCTATACTCTATCCTTTTCTATCTCATATGAATGTTTCTGATTTGTTTTCATTCCGCTTTGGACCATTTTCACTATTCAAAAATTTTAAACATAACTTTATATATTAAAGTTTAAAGATGAAAGAAGTTAACAATTTTCCAAATAACTTTATATACATCCATGAACGCGTTACATATAAATTATAGCAAATGTACACATTATAAATAAAAAAAAAAACTCTGTAAATCATGCAACAGGGGGAAAAGTTTAATTACAAAGAAAGCAGTATTCTCTTGTTCGAATAACGTAAGCGGAATGAAATTTTTGATTCCGACGCGAGAGAAAAGAGAAACTAAAGTGCCAGCTTGATACAATATATAATAAATGAATTAAGACATTTCGAAAGTAAATTCACGCTGTGATGAGTGATTCATAGGAGATACATCTGCACGCTATTTGGTACTCCATATATCGGTTAGAAGACAACGATGTTTCGCCTAACAGAACCACGCCTACCAACACTGTCCTAATCGAGTGATCGAGTACCCTTGCGGTGTTGGCACCCCTGCTTGTCAGGGGTTGTCCATTATACACGTATTCCTCACACCACAACATTCCTCTCTCTCTCTCTCTCTCTCTCTCTCTCTCACTACTATATATATACGGCATAAGCAGAAGAGACGACCACGACCATGTCATTGTCCAATGTCCATTCTGTTTTTTGTTCTTACACCACCTAAAAACCCCTCCGTGTAATGTCAACCCATAAAATTCAAAGTAATACCTTTGTTTCCTATTTTCAAAATATAAATCACTGCGCTTTATATAAAAAACAAATTCACAGTTTATGGTTAGACTAATTTTTTTTATTTCTTCCTGACTCAAGAAAACTGAATATTTTTGTTTGTTTTTTTATTCTTTAAAATTGCAATAAATCGTTAACCCAAAGACAAATTAAAAGATAACTTTCCATTGGGAATTAGTTGCTTCACTTCATTGGCAAATTCGCCTTAATAAGATCAATTAACGTTTCTCGCGCAAAGCTTCACTTCTTTTTGACCCAAGGAAGCCTTAAGTATTACCCACGGATCGTATTTCTTGTATATAATCACAATATCACTGGAAGCGAGCTGAAAGTTAATAAGTATCAATGAGTTAGAAAATCATCTGGCGACCCGTATCAATCATTTTTTTTCTCCTCTGTTCCTTTTTTATCATTCAGTCGGGAGTTTTTATTGTCCCGGCTCTCTTTTCTTTTTTTTTGTTGGTTCATTCGTCTAAATCGAATGAATGGAACTTTTAAAGTTTCAACGGATGAAACCTAAGTGTATGATGAGTTTTCCAAGTAA